GGGAGAGGGAGAAGCAGGCTCCCCGCAGAGCAGGGAGCCCGATGCGGGACTCGATCCCAGGACCCTGGGATCACGACCTGAGCCGAAGGTAGTCGCTTAACCAACTGAGCCGCCCAGGCGCCCTGTCTCCTAATTATTAAATTATCTCCTGGAATGTGTCATTCTGGTTTTTAATTATGACATTGTCAGACAAGGAACTTAGCATAAGTAGATGATTCTGCTAGGGGGCTGCTAAATTGGGATCATTACAGGATAAAATTAACATCTTCCAATTCTCTAGAAAATTTATTTCTAAAGTAAAATTTGTCTGACTTTCCCCCATTACTTATTTTATTACGTAAGTGGCAGTTAATTAGAATAACAGGTTAGGGGTCGTGACCCCTACCACAGTAAAAAATCTGGGTATAACTTTTGACTCCCCAAAAACTTAACCACTAATAGCCTCCTGTTGACCGGAAGCACATACACAGTCAACTAATCCATATTTTGTGTATGTGTTATATACTGCATTCTTAGAGTAACCTACAGAAAAGAAAATGTTATTAGAAAGATCATAAATATGTGAAAATACATTTGCAGTATGTACTGCAGACATCAAAGACAAATCTGCACGTAAGTGGGCTCTTGCAGTTCACAGCTGTGGTTTTCAGGGGTCCACAGACGAGTATCTCTCGCTCTATCTAACAGGAGTAGACATGGTCATCGTTGTTGCAGTTAATATTGTTACAAGGAAGCAAATGTCTGTCATGTGGGGGCTTGACAGCAGCAAGAGAATGAGGAGCATTCGGAATCCCGCCCCCCTCCTCCGCCCCCGGTAATATAAGAATGGCTCAATGTCAGAGGAAGAGTTCAGTGTATTTACCTCATTTTCTTGTTGTTGCTTAGTCACCAGTGACTTTGTAGTGTGGTTGATTTCGATGTGAGGCCCAAACTCTTACAAATACTTAAATGCATTTCTGTTTTCACCACTGGTCTTACACATGACCTTCTCATACAGTATACACTGAGGAGTTTGCCCGTGGAGGATCCTCACTTTTTCTTAAGAAAACTTGTTCAATTTCAGAGGACATGAATGTTCCACATAATATAGTTGGAGAGATTTTATCCTAACAGGTGAACCTTCTCACCCTTGCCTAAGCCTACTTTTCCTATCCAGTGGTTCAGAGTATCATGGAATAATGGGTTTATTTTCACAGGTTCCTTTTAGTATAGCCCCACTTGAGCTTTCCCTTTATTTGGAAACTGTGTATACCACCTTTGTATTTTTTGCATATCAGAACACATTAACTTCATAAACTTAAAGATACTTATAAAGAGCCACATGGAGATGCATAGATGAACACAAAATAATGGACTAAATTGATCTAGAAACCACAAAACTCCCTGTTGGAGAGATTTCACAGCTGGTTCATGTAGAGTGTCATGCTTCAATCCCAAGAAAACATCCTGTCCCAAAAGTAATGCTTATGCTTTGGTAAGGTATCACAAATTAGCCCTTACAAACTAATTTTTTGAATAATTATAGCATCATAGGAGACTGTGGTCCTAAAAACGATGTAAATTATACTTGGTTGGCGTTGGTCGGTTTTTAACATTTCCCTCTTTTTTTTTTTTTTTTAAAGATTTATTTATTTGAGAGAGCGGGAATGAGAGAGAGAGAGAGAGTACATGAGAGGGAGGAGGGTTAGAGGGAGAAGCAGGCTCCTCGCCGAGCAGGGAGCCCCATGCGGGACTTGATCCCGGGACTCCAGGATCATGACCTGGGCCGAAGGCAGTCGCCTAACCAACTGAGCCACCCAGGCGCCCAACATTTCCCTCTTTTTATTCCAGATCCAGAAGAAGCCATTTATGATGACGTGCCAAGAGAAAATTCAGACTCTGAACCAGGTTTGAATTGTTTATAATTGAATTTTAGAGGATTTAGTTTATCAGTGTTTCCTTCTGGGTGTAAAAAATGACTGGTTAGTGTGCACACAATCCCTAATACACAGCTTGTATGTGTTTTATGTTCGTGTTTTCTATATTGCATAGTGTCTCATTGATATCATGGGGTGGAATATTGGTCTGTGCACATAGGTGTGTGTGCTTATATTACAGCACTTGAATGAATCTAAACAAGCATTGATTAATGTAGAGAAGCAGAAAGAGGTAAAGGTGTGAAAAATATGAATGGAAAGGTAAAAAAATGGAAGCTGTAAGTACCAGCATATATATAATAAGTGATTTAAATGAGAAAATAGAAGAAGGAAGTACTAATACTTTTCCAGAATTAAAGAATGATGTAAGTTCTCAGATTATAGAAATACAAAATCAAAGCAGGCTCAAGCCTGAATCCATACCACATACACTCGAAACCACTGAGCACAGCTCAGTCCACTAATACCAAAACACAAGTGTTAAAAAGAGGGAAACAAAGGCAGTATCAGATAAAGATTGGGGAGATTTACCTCTCAGACTCTAAAAACTATTTCACGATGCATTTCAAGGAAAAGGGTACTGAACCTAATAGGCTGCAGAAAGAACAGAGAGCAAATAATGACTTTGTGAATGAATCCAAGCAAGCATTGATTAAGACAGCACTAACAGTATTGTTTCATTTCACAAGTGGGACTGCAGGGCGGGCTAAGGCCCTAGACAGTTGTACGCGCCATCTGGGGGGTGGCTGACTCTCTGTGTCTAACGGCTGTGCATTTTTCAGGAAGAGGATATAAATAATGATTGTGTGTTTTTTCCTGTGATAGGTTGGCTCTGCATTTATGGGCAACCACTAAAAGAACAGAAATAGATTATTTAACTTCCAACCCAGTAGAGAAAAACCCAATCTGGGTTGGAAGAAGCAAGAAAATGTAAAATAAGAAAGTATGGCAAATAATATGAAAAAAGATGGCAAAACTAGTCCAAGTATATTTCTATTTATAGTAAATATAAACTGAGTCCAATTGCCCATAAAAGAAATTCTCAGGTTGGGTAAAATAACAGAGCTAGGCATATATTTGTATGAGAGCTATATAAGGGTACAAAACATTTGTAAGTCAATGGATGGAAAAAGAAACATAAGGCCAATTCCAACCAAAATATAGCCAGTATTACTCTAATATATTGAATGTTAGGCTATAAAATGTTAGGCGTAGAGTCCTTCACAAGAGAGAACTGTAACAATTCTAAACTTGTGTGTACCTAACGAGACAGTGTCCAAATATATAGAGCAAAATATGACTGAGATATAATCAGCAGTAGTTAAGTACATAATTGGAGTGGGAGGTTTTTTTTTTTAATTTTATTATGTTATGTTAGTCACCATACATTACATCATTAGTTTTTGATGCAGTGTTCCACGATCCATTGTTTGCCTATAACACCTAGTGCTCCAAGCAGAACGTGCCCTCCTTAATACCCATCACCGGGCTAACCCATCCCCCACCCCCCTCCCCTCTAGAACCCTCAGTTTGTTTCTCGGAGTCCATAGTCTCTCATGGTTCATCTCTCCCTCCGATTTCCTCTCCCTTCATTTTTCCCTTCCTTCTAATGTCCTCCATGCTATTCCTTATGTTCCACAGATAAGTGAAACCATATGATAATTGACTTTCTCTGCTTGACTTATTTCACTTAGCATAATCTCCTCCAGTCCCATCCATGTTGATGTAAAAGTTGGGTATTCGTCCTTTCTGATGGCTTAGTAATATTCCATTGTATATATGGACCACATCTTCTTTATCCATTCATCTGTTGAAGGGCATCTCGGCTCTTTCCACAGTTTGGCTATTGCGGACATTGCTGCTATGAACATTGGGGTGCATATGGCCCTTCTTTTCACTACATCTGTGTCTTTGGGGTAAATACCCAGGAGTGCAATTGCTGGGTCATAGGGTAGCTCTATTTTTAAATTTTTGAGGAACCTCCACACTGTTTTCCAAAGTGGTTGTACCAACTTGCATTCCCACCAACAGTGTAAGAGGGTTCCCCTTTCTCCACAACCTCTCCAACCTTTGTTGTTTCTTGCCTTGTCCATTTTTGCGATTCTAACTGGTGTAAGGTGGTATCTCAGTGTGGTTTTGATTTGAATTTCCCTGATGGCTAATGATGATGAACATTTTTTCATGTGTCTGTTAGCCATTTGTATGTCTTCTTCAGAGAAGTGTCTTTTCATGTCTTCTGCCCATTTTTTGATTTGATTATTTGTTTTTTGGGTGTTGAGTTTGAGAAGTTCTTTATAGATCTTGGATACCAGCCCTTTATCTGTAGTGTCATTTGCAAAGGAGTGGGAGTTTTTAAGAAAGCTCCTTCCACGGTCATAGATTCTGGATGTAAAATTAGTAAACTGCAGAAGAACACAGTATACAATCAACCTAAAGACCATATATAGAACCTGAAGCTAATAGTTTCAGAATGTACTTCTTTTCAAACATATGGAATATTTATAAAAATTATATAGCATTCCTCAAAGCAAATATTAACAAATGCCAAAGAATTAGTATTCAGGCCTCATTCCCTTGATTTAAAAAAATCAATAAAAAGTAACATTTGAGTATTAAAAAATAACACTAATACCTAGCTCTTAGACAAGGCTGAAAGCAGAATGGAAATTAGGAATATTTTGACTTGAATAATAATGAAAACATTACATAAATTCTTATGGGATAGATTTAAAATAATTATAGACACAATGGCATTTGTTAATAAAAGAAGATGGAAAAATAATGAGCCAGCATCCAAGTCAGTTATATTAATGAATAGTGGAGTAAACTCAGAGAAAATAGAAGGAAATAAAAATGGTTGCAGCAAAAGTGATAAACAAAACAAAGAAACAATAGAAAGTATCAACAGAACTAAAGAGCAGTTCTCTAAAAATAATATGAAAATAGACAAGCCTCTGGTAGTGTTGGGAAGAAAGGATATTATTGGGAGGAGACAGAAGGAAGGAGGGAAGGAAAAATGGATCAGAAGCAAGAAACTGCAGTAGAAACCCATAAACACTATGAAGGGATTCTAGAAACAACTCGGTATCAATCAGTTGAAACACTTGGACTGCATCTGAGATAGAAAACATTAATGCATAATGATTCCCGATTTAGAATTAATTGCTTAACTAATGTGCCAGACAGCCCACTAAGACCAGGGTCCTCAGCTCAGAGTGGCTAAACCATCAGTGGACAGACAGTCCCTCTGCTCTACACACAGTTCCAATGGATAGTAGAAGACAGGAGCAGGTAACTCACTTTAGGGTCTTAGTATAAGCTTATAACCCCCTTCACCCAAAGGTGTGTTGCTGACCATCGTAATGAAAATGTAAAGAAATAAAATCCAGTAGTATCCCAACAAACAAGCAAAAGCCAACCTTAACCCTTTGGATTTGTCTCAGGAGTTTATGGATCCCTTAGTATTAGCAGGTTCTTTTACCACCCTTTCCACAGGAACAGACTAAAGTACATAAACCTTACACTCATCTCAATAGATACTTAAAATGCACTTGATAAGATTCAATGGCCATTCAGTGTTAAACCCTCGTAATAGAGGGAAACGTCCTCAGCCTAATAAAGGATGTGTTCTCATAATCTACATCCAGTGTACTAAATTATAAAGAGTTAAAAGCACTTGGTAATTTATTTATTCCACAATGCATTTGGATGCTGTTACATACTGAGCACTGATCTAGGTTCAGCTAACAGAGTTGTCCTGCCCTCAAGATTCCTATACTGAGGGAGACAAACACTTAACATAGGGGTCCCTTCATAAATAAAACCGAAGTACTTATGAAGGAATGTGCTTCCAGGTATTTATTTAAATGCATGCATGCTGCAAATAAAGTGGGAATTAAAGACTGGTTTCTGTAAAAAACAAGCTTGAAATTTATTTTGGGGTAATTTATGCTACCAGGTAGGCCCTTCCCAACCCAGACGGGGTGAGATCTGAGGCCTCCAACACCAAAACAACACCACCAGTTCTACCAGTAGTCTCCCTACCAAAGGTGACAGCCATCCTGGGTAGAGCCAGCGGTGTCCCTGTGAGGACAGTGCCCTGCAGGGCGCTGATGTGTGTGGTGTGTGTGCTTTCACTCACACATCAGCCAGGACCCTCCCTTGTTAGGATCACAAAGGGCCCTGGTCCCCTCTGGCCCTTTGCTCTTTGCTTGTTAAACGTCTTGGTGGCACAATCATTTTGAAAAAACACTTCAGTTAAAGACCTAGCTATTGTGCAGATGGTGATACAGACCAGTGGTCTCCTGGCAGGTGTGTTTCCTGGAGAAATTCATGCCTGCTTCAGGGAGCCGTGTGCAGGGATGCCCCTCTGCAGCACGGTTTGTAAAGAGCAAACGATGAGGGGAAACGTAGTGGCTCCACACTCGGGGAAAGGGTCCACATTTTCAGTGAATTTATACAAGAGCGTGATACCGCAGTTAAAAAAGAATAAATGATGTGTGTATATGTGTAAATGCACACACAGTCACACACAGAAGCAATGAGCAAAAAGCAAGACACAGAGCTAGGGTGCGTATGCCTTTAGATAGATGCACCCCTCAGAGGTAAGTGCACACCCGCAAGCCAGGACTGATTCTTGCTGACCTGGGGAGGGGACAGGCCTCTGGCTGCGTGCGTGTCGCTTTGCAAGGGCTGCTTGGCAGGAGCGGGCGCTGACGCAGGGCTTATGTGGGGTCTACACACATGCCTGCTATTTGGTGCTTTTTGGTGCATGTGAAGTATTTGGTAATTAAATCAATATGTTCAGTGAAGTAGATGGCACTAGATCTTTGAGGTTCCTTGTGGGTGTAATTGCAGAATTCACGCCGTCTAGGACATCGGCTGTCTGGTGAACTGTGGAGACACAGACGTGTCCGAGGGAGAGCGGAGGCCTATGTGCTTTGTGCAAAATATGGCCATTTAGGGTGAAGTTCCGTCACAGTACTGGGAGGACACTGAAGACTTTCTCGTGACATAAGATGGTGACCATCTGTATATTTTTTAATTGTGGTCAAGTGCACGCCACATACAATTGACCATTTTAACCAGTTGAGAGGAGACGGTTTGTGGCATGAAGCACACTCATGGGCTGGTGGGCCTTCCCCACCGCAGTCCTGGCCGAGGGCAGGCAGCAAGGTTGCTGCCCAGAAAACTCAGCCAGTAGACCAGCTCTCCCTTCACCGGCCTGTGGGAGAAGCACGTGCCCGGTGGCTGTGTTTACTTGCCAGTGTCAGGAAGCCTCGCTCCGTGCATCTAGGAACTGAGGAGGGCCTCATAATTCACACACCGTCAATCCTCTGTAGTTAACACGACGCTGTAGGGCCCTTGAAAGTTTGAGCATGCAGGGGAGGCCCGAATAGCACTATCTTTTCCAGAACATAGAGCACCATTACCGTCACACGTCCCGACCACTGAGTGGTAACGTCCCTAAGTTCCAGGTGGTCCACTGTGCCTGGGGCGTGACGGTTCTGACGCCCCCAAGGTGGACAGGCTGTCCAGCCGACCCTAGAGCAGGGCCCACAGGAGAGCAGGGGCCCTCCGCTGTCTCCCCCAGAGCTGGGACCAGCTGGTGCACCTGCCGCTCGCTCCCGCACTCCGGAAATGTTGCTGCAGGTGTGAGCACCACCTGCCGTGCTATGTGTGTGGACTGTTTCCTGCAGACAGAGTAGCCCGACGTCCAGAGCAGTTGGTGAAGGGAGGAGGATGTGCTAATCGGGCAGCTTCAGGGTTCACGCACCGCGCTGGGGGAACAGGGCACGGACACACACGTGTGTGTGGTGCGTCCGTTGCTGACTGGTCCATGGAGGGTCACCAGGCGCTTCCACTCATGGCCAGCTGCTGTTGTCAGGATGGCTCTTGGCCATGACCTGCATGGCGGCTAAGCCGGGGTCCGGCTGCATCCCCAGAATCCACCTGCCCTGTTGCCCCAGTTGCCCAGTTCGTGGTCGAGGTAGGTGTCCTTCAGGCGTGGCTGAGCCACGCCACTGCGGCTCCTGGAAAGTGAGCTCATTTTCAAATATGGCTTGTTTTACCCAGATGACATTTACTCCTTAGTGCTTTCAACCAGAAATTTGGATTTCTGTCTTACGTTCTGGAATATATCGGAATCCAGTGGAGATGTCACGCAAGGCCAGGGTAATCTGGAGTATTACAGGAATTTTCAAAGTGACAAGTTCCTGTCTACTTTTCATTTCCAGTGAAAGCAAATGTTTGCCTTTAAGTATTATATATACAAAGCTAGCTCTTGGCCCTGAAGAATCTATTCATCAAGGTTTAATTACTGAAGATTTTAAGGGCCAAGTTTCATTACAGAGGACGGTGGAGGATGCATATGGAATAAATTTAATCAAGAAATGTGAATTATTTTCAGGCATGGAAACAATGTCTTTTATCTAACTTTGTACTGTCCTTCGGTGATAATTTAAGCAGAAATTACTCTTAAGTCATTCATACTTGAGAAAGTTCATCTGAAATAACCATTTATGCTCATTTGTTTAGCAAGTAATAGAGATCAGAGAGACACTGGTATTCTGGAAGTTTGTAGAATGACATTTCATTCTCAGAAAGTCCTGTCACCAGCAGCATGGCGCTGAAAATGGGAAGCCCGTCTGTATTTGTTTGTTCCACTGCATAGTGTATCATTCAGGGCGTATCCCAGGATTACTTTTCGTGGACCTGTGGCCTTGGCATCTATTAGAAAGGAAGCAGATTAATTAATTGGTGGTGAATGTCAAGACTTTCTCCTTGCCCTGGGAGTGCCCATGAGGCGGCTCGGCTCAGTGAACTCACTTTTGCAGAATACAGATTATGAAGTAAAAGGTGGGAATTAAAGCCTTTGGAAGTTTTAAACTAAAGATCCCTTGTCCTTGTATTGGGTGACATAGACCTGTGTTCTTTGCTAAATCTGAAATGACTGATGTGATTAAAACATTTAAAAAGCAGTAATAAGTTATGAGGTTTATTAGACCATTGTTAGCACAAAGGCAAAATTTAGTTGTTTCCTGTGAGCTTCCCATGTGTCATATTTGAATGTCTCTCTCATCTATGCATTTATCATCTACTTATCTAATCTGTTTATATTCCCTACATTTATCTTTGTGTGGCCAACAAGGTATTTGGTATAATTCTGGTAGATTCTTATAGGCCAGTGGCCCTCAGGATGCACCTGGGGCTGGGGGTTCACTGGTGCTCTGTCCAGCCCTGCACATCGCTGCCCCCATCCTGGAGGTGGCGCCCACCACCTTTATCGGGGAGCCTGCCCCCCGAGGCCTGATATGCCTCCAGCCCCCAGCTCTCCATGATACGGTGAAGCAACAAGCATGCACAAGACCATAACTAGCAAATTCTGCATTTTTTATTTCACTTTGGCATTCTTGCCCTCAGATGAAATGATTTATGATGACGTTGAGAACGGAGAGGAAGGTGGGAACAGCTCTTTGGAATACGGCTGGAGCTCAAGTGAATTCGAAAGCTACGAGGAGCAGAGTGACTCGGAGTGCAAGAACGGGGTCCCCAGGTCCTTCCTGCGCAGTAGCCACAAAAAGCAAGTATGTGTTCAGTCTGTGTGGGAGACAGCGTATCTCCCGGTAGCACGTGAACAGGCCTCTGAAATTTGCATCCCGTGATATTTAAGTGTTCTTGATGATGTTGGCACGTAGTGTGAGGAAGGTGTAAGCAGTAGGGAAGGGATCCCTGATTTGACCTCGTGTGTATAATCATAGCAGGATGGGAAATTCAGTTTTTACAAACACACTCAGAAGGCCCTCAGTGACTGTTCTCTGCGTTATTTGTGCACAGATAGGCACGACTTCCGGGCACCCCGAGTGGACAGCGTCAGGTCTCTGTGAGATGCAGTGGTGTTGAAGGACAGAGCCCCTGAGCTGCCCAGTTATCTGTCCTGAGTGGAGTGTGTGTGTGCACGCGTGTGCGTGACCCCTGAGGTCAAGGTCTGAAGAGGAGCTTCAGAGATGAGGAGCGTGAATTCTAGAACTGGGTGGTGGGCGGCTGTGGGACCTAGGAGCGCTTTCGTTGAGCCGATCCTCTTACTGAGACGTGTGGTTTTCCATGGTGTGTGGCTGTGTTGTTTGCTCCTGGTTGCTGGGCTCTGGCTGTTTGTGAACGGGGTCCTCTGCGCTCACGCTCACCGATGTGTCTGCAGGCTTCGCGGGCTTTCTGTGTGAGGCTGAGCGTCCGGCCACAGGCACAGGGAGACTGGCCCGTGTGACACTGTGGGCAAATCACCGGCCCCACCTGCACCCAGGGAGCAGAGTGGTGGGTTTTTGGCTGTGGCTCCCATGTGTGTCCAGCTTGCATGTGGTTACGGGTCACCTGGTGTTCTCATACTCTGGGAACTAGCTTCATGAAGCCCAGAAGAACCTACCCCTTTGTGTAGGTCACCTGAGCACATCACATCATTACAGCCTTTCCTTGGACCCCTTGCCGGCACTCAGCACAGCTGAGACTAACTGGCGAGGGAAGCCGTAGTCATGTTGACTCCATGCACCTGCCACGCTGGGCTTACGTTGAGATTGGAGAGCCATGCCTGGGGGCCTCGGAAGAATGGCTAAAACACTCTTCAGTTAACTTCTGTTGGCGGGCTGGGTGTCAGGTGCCCACGGACCAGCCACTCCCACACTTACTGAAAGACTGTATTCCTCGCCTTCTGAATGGAACTCTGTTCCCAGGCAGGCCCCCCGAAATGCCAAGTGAGAGGCCGCTTCCCAGCAGGTGAACGGCCCACAGGGTGGCTCATGAGTGTGGGATAATCACATGGGCATCCTCCTCCCTCCCTTGCCCCAGCTCGGCCGCACCCTGAGGCGGCTGGGAGGACAGTCAGCAAGATAGGGCTGTGGGAAGGACCGGGCATTCTCGTTTAAGTCATGATTTAAAAACGGCCTACTGAATGAACACTCTTAGGTTGTTGACTAGTCAACTAAAAAAAAGCCCAAATTTTTAATGAAAATTTGCTTAAAGTGTCTTTTCCTGAGCTGATGTGGGAAACATTTGCTGGAGAAGCCTTGAGGCCTTGGTTTCCGTATCTGAGATTGTGTGATCACGTGGACAGTGTTTTGCAGGATTTCTCCCCTTCCCCGTCCGCTGAGACAACAAACGTTACGTCAGTTTGGAGGCTTAAAAATGTGTCCTGTCCGTTCCCAAATCATGATGCCCTGTATGTAGGGGCAGTCCTGAACTCGGGTATCGTCTGCCTTGGTGCTGACACAAAAGAATAGTTTTATACCTTGTTTACTTACATGTTTGATCATCTTAATGTCATCAGAATGCAGGGGAAGGAGGCCCCAGCTCCTTTGGTTCCCATAGTCGCTCTTGGCTGGCGTAGAAAAGTCTCCAGTCTGGCTCGTCCGCAGTCGCCTCCTCGCCCCACGTGTTTGACGTCCTCATGTTTATGTCTCAGGAGTTGGTGGGCCAGACTTGGGGCTCCCTGTGGGGCGTGGGGTCCCGCAGACGCCACCCCCGCCACGTCCTCTCAACGTAAGACGGTCTCATGGTTCCGGAAGGAGCGTCCTTGTGAAAAGATTGTCTCTCTCTGTGCTGTAGCTTTCCCATGACCTAACCCGTTTCAAGGAGCACTATGAGAAAAAGATGAGAGCTTTGATGGCAAACACGGTGGGAGCCACAGAGATGCAGCAGCTAAAGCAGAGACATGAACTCAAGGTAGTGTGGTTCATTTTTTGACGAGCTGCGTTGAACGTGCTTGTTCAGAGACAGGCCGTGCTTTTACAAGAAGCACCACGGCCACCAAGTTGGCCCTTTTTAACCCAACAGTGGTTCTCAAAGTGTGGTCTTGGGCTCCCAGGTGTGCCCAAGGCCCGCGTAGCGCGCTCACATTAGATCTGAGACGCCGTTTACCCTCTGTCTCCCTCGTGCGCTTACCGCGGACGGGAGCGTCCCCGAGGCCCCGCTCTGGGTGGCACACCGCAGCCTTGGCCTGCAGGGTCTGCCGTCTTTGAGATGCCGGAGAGATTTCCAGACATGCACGACCGCACCACCTATCTTGTCGTTGGGGAGATACGGTGGTGTTTCATGAATGCGCTGCGTCGGTAACACGGAACAGGTTTATTATTATTTCTAAATGAATGTTCAGAAAAGTTTGATATTTTTCTCAATTTTAACCCTTCGTCCAGTAAACGTAGACCAGTGAAAGCCAGATGAACAGAGCTCATAGGGCCAGCAAGTTGGAGAACCGCTAGGTTTGAACGTGGTGGCGGTCGGTCCTCGCAGAGGTGTTTTAAAAGGGCACTGTCAAGTAACGTTCACGTCCGTTAGGTCTCTTGTCCTTCCTACGTTCTGTGACTTGTTTGTATGTGTTAAATAGCGTCTAACTAAAGATAGATGTTCGCTTCCGTTACAGTCACCTGCTTGATTCCGGGGTGTCCTTGTGTCCTGGGCTTCCCACAGCAGGAGCAAAACTCGGGGAGTCACGTCACTTCCTTCAGCCCAGCCTCTGGCTGGCTCCCGTGCACGAATCTAAGGCAGCAGGCCACATGGGAGTGTCTGGGGCCTGGCGCGATTTTGCAGAGAGCGGTGAGCACAGTCATTGGTCACGGGGAGGCGTGAAGGAGGCCAGCTTGGTGGAGGAGTTTGGAAGCAGGTGTGTGGCAGGGAGAGCAGCATGTGCTGGGAAGCAGGGAGCAGTGAGACACGGTAAGTAATTAGGGCCAGGCCAAGCAGACCCCCTTCATCCAGTAAGAAGCAGACACTAGGACGGGGCGGGAGCCCTGGCTCTGTCTCCTGGCTGCTGCGTGATCTGGGACAGGCACCGCAGCTCCCCAGAACCTGGGCGTTCATCGCTGCTCGAGGACCAGGCGCTTTGCAGGCTGGCCCCCTTTGGTCGTCTGTTTGCAATTCTCTGATTCTCATCTGAGGGACCCTGGCCAGGGTCTGGCTGAAGATTGAGGCTTAGAGGTCCAGGTGGGGTAAGGAAGATGAAGTCTGGGAAGGCTGTTGGGTCAGGAGAAGACGCAGAGGTGTCTTGCAGGCAGGTGAGCAGTGGGGGGGGGGGGTTGCAGGTGGAGGCCCCAGCAGCGGCCGGCAGGGGAGGTGGCCCGTGTGGTGAAGGGCACGTCCCCAGGAAGGGGAGGAGGGGATGCAGGACTCAGAGGAGCTGCGGTGGCCGTGCCCTGTGGACGTTGGAGCAGGGTCCCAGCTAGCGAGCGTGGACGTGGTTTGGGTGCAGCTGGTGGAGGCTCGGGGGGCTAGAGGACGCGCAGGGACAGCCAGGGCCGCGGTCCGTGTCTGACACCAGTGTGTGCCCCGGGAGGTACCCGGGCCCTGATGATCCGGCCCCGAGACACACTGGCAGGGTTGAAATCTGTCCAGTGTCAGGAGGGAATCGGCAGGAGGACGAGGGCAGCAGGCAGTGCGGGGTCCCTTGGACTGGGTGCTGGTTTGGAGGAGGCCATCTGGGGTTTCTCTAAAAGAATCACTTGGAGCCCAATGGCCAGTACCTCAGACCTTAGAGTTTTTGAGAATAGGGAGGTAAGAAGCCAAAGCAGGTCGTTGCGGCTCTGAGCCCCGACGGCTGGTGTGTGTGTGTGTGTGTCCTTGGGCTCTGGGTTTAGGGAACCAGAACCCCTACACGGCACTCTGGTGGGAGGTGGGGTTCTGGCTCCCCACAGCCCGCAGCGGGGCCCGAGCAGCCCATGGCGCCCCTGTAAGCCGTGGACTTGCCTCCCGGGGAGCTCAGAAAGGCAGCTGGGGGGCTGTCAGGCCGTGCCCTGCGTGCGCCCTGTGACCCAGGCCCGCCACGTAACTGTGTGTGCTCTCGATTCCCTGCCTCTGAGGTCTGCAGAGCACTGTGTCTGTGAGTCGTCCCCGGAGCGACGGAGACTGACCTCACACGCAGCGGAGACCCTCCCCTCCCCCCTCCCCCAGGTCGAGGAAGGGCTGGTTGTTCAAGTGCGCTTTTCTTTCTTTCCTTCCTTCTTTCTTTTTTGTTAAACACACAAAACATGGCCCGAGCCACACACACACACACGCATGCATGCACGCACAACAAGCAAGTGAGCCCCCCCACCCCGGCCACAAAGCCAACTTGAGGGCACGTTTTAAGACCAAGCTACTTGACAGTATTCTTTTAAAATAAAAGCAGCAAGTGAAGTTTTATCGACGGTGTCACTTCTCATGTTTCCCGCTCTTCTTACAGATGCAGAAGCTCATGAAGGCCGCCAAGGAGGGCACGAAGGACGGGCTCGAGAAGACAAAGGCAGCCGTGAAGAGAGGCCGCTCTCTCATTCGGACCAGGTCCTTCATGGCTCCAGGTGTGTGGCCTGGCTTGCAGACCCGTCCGTCACACAGCATGTTGGTGGCGTGGAGTGCAGCTATGGGCTCGTCATGAGCACCCCCCGCAGCACCGTGCTCGTCGCTGGGATTTGACTTAGCTGGGCCACCTGGGTCTCCCCTCCCAGATGGGGGGAGGGCGTGCTCTCTCAGCTGAGGACATGCTCGGACCTGTGCAGTAGCCCAGGGATGGACATGCACACACACAACAGGCAACAGAAAGTTGAGTGAATTCTCATGGGTGGTAGACTTCACTTCTCTTTCTCTGGTCTCCTCTCAGCGCACCGGCCCTTCGTGAACCCCCGCCCTGGGGACTTCACTCTCTGCTCTCTCTCCCAAAATCCCCTTGGGTATCGGACCTCAGTCAGTTTGGATTCTCAGCAACTTTATTCTTTTTCTTTTTTTTTAAGGCTTTATTTATTCATTTGAAAGAGAAAGGGGGGGTGGGGACAGAGGGAGAGGGAGAAGCAGGCTCCCCGCCGAGCAGGGACCCAGACATGGGACTCGATCCCAGGACCCTGGGATCATGACCTGACGCTTAACCGACTGAGCCACCCAGGCGCCCCAGCAAGTTTATTCTTGATAAGGCATAATAATGGATGATCTGTTCACTGAGTGTAGGTTCTCTTGTGTATGTGTATTTCCCAGAAAGACACAGGCTAAGAGGGCTTGTTCTAAGCAGGGATTTTAGGAACCCTTTTGCTGGTGAGGAAAGATCTGGGATGATTCCAGAAGTTTCAGGTTTCCTGAGGCTCTCGACAGAGGGATTCAATGATGAATCTGCGTCAGAGAGAGAGGTTGTGTCTGGAGTGTTCCATGTGGACAACAAGCTGTGGACCGAGGATTATCTGACGTCTGGGAAGATGTCTTCACATGGGTGCGTTATTACAAGACAGCTGGCTACGTACACGGCGGCTGGGAGCGTACTTCCCTGGAGTGGGCGGCGGGACCCTGACAGGTTCCTTGAAGAACTCGACTTTGTTCTTTGCACAAGTGTTCTGAGAGACGAGCTGCTGCTCACGTAGCATTTGCTGGTAGCCGTGCCCGGAAAGCACCGTGAAACCGCGCTTCCGTAAGGAGAGGTCTCGGAGGACAGTGTGTAATGGGTGCTAAAACGAACTAGAGTCTTGTATGAATTCTAGTCCTAGAGAAATCTTCAGCGTCTTGAAACAAGATGCAGAAAAGGCTGTCAGGAGCCCCAGTGGGTTACTTTGGGAAGGAGACGGCTGGGTGGGGAGGTTCTGATAACGGTGTGTGCCCTGATCGGCTACTGGCAGCGTGCCAGGCACCCCCAGGACAAACCCCTTCACGGGGGGCCCGGGCAGGTCTGACAGGTGCCCAGGCTGGGATTTGGGGCCCCACCCCAGACCCTGAACAGGAATCTGCAGGCCAGCACCCAGCACACAGGATGGGCAGGGAGCCCCAAGCTGGGCAGGGAGGAGGTCTACGGGGACCCCCAGAGGGGTGCGGCAGTTGGTCAGGTGCCTCCCTGAGCCCAACGACCTTAGTTTCCCAAGATATAAAATGGGAAGATGGGACTGAATTAGTGGTTCTTAAACCTGGATGTACTCATGAATGAAGTGGGAGCATTTAACAAATCCCATGTACCCAGGCTCAGCAGCCCTGGGACTGATCCGTGAAACCCGAGGGGGGGACCCTGGATACCAGAAGGTTCTGTTCTGTCTCTTTTTAAGACTTTGTTATTTAAGATCAATTTTAGATTCACAGCAAAACTGAGCAGAAGGTGCAGAGATTTTCCATATATCCCCCCGCCGTGCACCGCCTCCCCAACCCTAGCTTCCCCACCATCTTGGTGCATTTGTCGCCGCTGATGAACCCACGCGGACACATCATCATCCGGAGTCCGCAGTGTACATTTACATGGTTTTTTCCTTCTCAATGCGGTGCCTTCTGTGGGTTTGGACACAAGTCCAGTGACAGGTACCCACCGTTAGAGTACCACACAGAGTAGCTTCACGGCCCTAAAAGTCCCCTGTGCTCCACCTGCTCATTCCTCTCTCCACCACAACCCCTGGTAGCCTCTGATCTTGTCACTGTCTCTGTGGTTTTGCTTCCCCAGATTGTCAGAGTTGGAGTCCGACCGTGCGTGGACTTCTCAGACCGGCTTCCTTCACTTAGTCACATGCCCTTAAGGCTCCCCCACGTCTGTTCATGGCTTGAAGGCTTGTTTCTTTGTAGCACTGAACACCATCCCACGTCTGGGTGGACTGCAGCTTTTATGTCCATCACCTGCTGCAGGGCATCTTGGTGGCTTCAGGTTTTGGCAGCAATGAATCAGCTGCTGTAAACATCCATTGCAGGTTGTATGTGGACATAAGTTTTCAACTCCTTTGGCTAAATACAGAGGAGTGTCATTGCTGGATTGTAGGGTAAGAGTGTGTTTACTTTTGTTAAGAAAGCGCCAAACTGTCCTCCAAAACGCCTGCGCCACTCTGCACCCCGCCGGCCCTGCGTGGGGGCCCCCGATGCTCCGTGCTCTCGCAGCACGTGGTGTGGTCGGCGCTCCGGATTTGGGCTGCTCTCGTGGGTGTGTAGACACTGGTAGGTTCTTACAAGCTCCTCACAAACGTTTCTGTGCAGCCAGGCTTTTGGAGATTGGAATTTGATCATCTCTGGGCTCCTGTTACCTAAAAACCCCTTTGCTTTTCTGTTTTCCAGCATTCTGTGGATTATTTAGCTATAGCCAGGTTTTTAAAGATAAATTGAGTTTTGGTCTAAGTGTTTTGATTTGATGGTAGCTGTGCTTTCCCAGGGAGCAAGGCAGACAGAAAGTCAAGAAATAACACTGAGTCTCCACTTAGCTTTCGTCGATTACTGAGCGAGTGTTCTTAGCTGCCCTTCTTTGTTTCTGAATGCGGTATTTTATAGATTAAGAAATTGAAGTATTTAGTTCTGACTTACCAACCAGGTATTGAAAGGACACCTCTGTCTTTTGAAATTAAATGTCCAAGTGTTGAAAACTTCAGATACCGATGGACATTGTGTTCCTCTGGTGGAAAGGCTGTTTTCTTGTTAAAATTTCAATTTAATCATGGCCCAGTGGAACATAAGCACGGAAAATCAAAGTGTCTGCCCGAAGCATTGGTTTTTTTTTTTTCCCCCCATGCTGTAATATTATGAATATATCGTTTCAGGGTCCAACTAGTGCATTCTGACTTTTCTTTAAGATCACAGACCCTGTCTTGAAGAGGAGCAGAATTTATTTATTGATGTTGACTGCAAACATCCAGAAGCCGTCCTCACCCCGATGCCTGAAGGTCTATCTCAGCAGCAGGTAGGATGGGGGGCTGCTTCCTGGCGTGGCTGTGTCCCCCCGGCCGAGCCCCCGCCATCCCCCGCTCACGGCCCCTCTGTGGCCTTGGTGGCCGCGGGCTCTCTGGCCCACGCGTGTTTGGGTATCACCCCCGAGTAAGTGTGAGATGGGTATGGGTGTGATTTATACCGGTTCTTACTAGCATGTACGCGGTGCCTCACACGCAGAGTAAAAGATTTCCAGCAACTGGTGAAATCAGCAGGATATCAGTGAATTTCTTAGCCTCTGGAAAGAGGTAGCAGAGGGAAAAAAGTGCGGTGGTGTCCATCTGATGATCTTTGGGTAAAAGGAAAAGAAAGCCTGAGGACCAGAGCGTGGAGCAGAGTTTGGGGCTTTCGGGGGGCCCTGGAGAGTTCTGTGCGGGGTCAGCGTGACACACGTCCTGGAGACACACAGCGCTAGGTAGACACGTGTGGAGAGCGGCGTGGCTCGGAACAAGGTGGTGACAGTGCTAAGGTCAGAGTCTGAACAAAGAGCTGAGTTGGGAGGATGCCCAGGGGCCGTTAATCGTTGTCTGCAGACTAGGAAGCTCAGGTTTCACGGGAGTTGAAGGGGGAGCCCGCGCAGCAGGGCTGACGGGACGAGGAAGCGTGTCTGTGGGCCGTGGCTGATCTGTGAGCGCGTCGGGAGCGAAGGAGGACGTGGCGACGGGCGAGTGGGGCCGCCATGGGCACCCACACGAGCGCGCTGCCTGTCACTAAGGGCTTGCACATCCCTCCGTGTCCGCATGCATGTCCCACAGGAGGACGCTGCGGCTCCGAGGAGGCCGATGGTGGGGGTGGCGCCCTGCCCCGGGCGCAGTAGGGCCCGATGCCTCAGCCAGGTCTCTGATCCCCAAACCTAAAATCCTAAATCCTAAGTCAGTCAGTTGGATGGACCGTAAATGCTCTGTGCTGTCCGGTGCTCCCTGGGGACATGTGGCTGCGATCCCCGCGGGGCGCGGTGCTGGCTGTCCCGGTCTGTGGTTCACCCGCTGCTCTCCAGCCCCGGTTGGAGAAAGGGCCTTGAGTTCCCGAAAACACCCTTGATGTCCCTTTGAGATCTCTCTACCTGGGTCCCTCCTGCCCCACTCCTGTGCGGCCCGGGGCTCTGACCACTAATGGGGTCTCCGTGCTCATTCCTGGGGGGACACAGTGTGACTGGGACTTGGGTCCCCTTGTCTGAGGACGTGGTGTCGGGTGAAGCAGGGCCCTCCCTCCCAGCAAGCACAGGTGGGACACCGTGACGTAGTGGGGGACAGCTGTGTAGAGGACATGGGACCTGACCTCTCAGGGTCCTCTCAGGGCTGTTAGAAATGTCTGTAATTTCCTGGGTTTGACCCCAGATCTTCTGCCTGAGGAGACTTGCAGCATCTGGAATCTGAATTCGGGAAAAAGGGTGGCGGAGATGGGCCCTCTGCTAGTTTGGGGAGTGACTGGGTTGTGGGGTCTAGCCTTCCTCGTGGAGCGAGGGGTCAGTGCCCAGACTCCTGAGTGTGAACGGGGCCGGGCGGCTGGTAGCCTCGCGGGGGCCTCTTTTAACCCCAGACCCTTCTGTACTCTTTACCTGCCCTAGAAGTGCTGGTTTTTATCTTAATTTTGTGAATTTGAGTGGTCCTTTTTGTGGAGAGAGTCGCTCCCTTGTCAGTCACGTTTTGTAAGACTCCATAGCTCTGGAATGTTCTGCACTGTGGAAAATGCCGTCTCCACCCGCTGGGTGGCGTTGTGGTTCCTGTTGCGAGCCTCCCCTCCTCCTCGCAGGCCTGGGGGGGCGGGGGACTGGGGTGTGTGGGGTCTAGAGGCAGCCTTCCTGTAATTTTGTGCTCGTTTTCCATTTATTGGCAAAAATAACTTGCCAGACTATGTCTAGGCTTGATGGAAGTGCCCAGCATCATCACTGGCCTTTAACAGGAACTGTGTGCCCAGAGTCCCATCCCCGTGCTTGACTGACCTGCGTGTTTGAGGCGGGAGCCGCTCACTGGCCTTAATCCACAAGCTGCCCCCCCCCCCCGCCCCTTCCTGAGTGTGTCTTCGCTTGGTCAAAAGCTCTCGAGCCAAAATAATCTACTCTTCCACCTTTCTTTCTTTCTTTTTTTGTTTTTTAAGATTTTTATTTATTTATTTGACAGAGAGAGACACAGCGAGAGCAGGAACACAAGCAGGGGGAAGTGGGAGAGGGAGAAGCAGGCTTCCCGCTGAGCAGGGAGCCCGATGCGGGGCTCGATCCAGGACCCTGGGATCATGACCTGAGCCGAAGTCAGAGGCCTAATGACTGAGCCACCCAGGCCCCCCCCCTTTTTTTTTTAGGATTTTATTTATTTGACAGAGAGAGACACAATGAGAGAGGGAACACAAGCAGGGGGAGTGGGAGAGGGAGAAGCAGGCTTCCCGCGGAACAAGGAGCCCGACGCGGGACTCGATCCCGGGACCCTGGGGTCATGACCTGAGCCGAAGGCAGACGCCCAACGATGGAGCCACCCAGGCGCCCCTGGTCTTCCACCTTTCAAAGCTGTTTCTCCTTCTACAACTTGGCAATAATAATTTCACTCGATCTATTCCGCTGCTAGCATTCTTTGAGTTAAGACTGGAACGGCTCTTTTCATACTTTAGTCCTACGTGGAACATCCCGTAACGCAGCGTAGGGCCCAGAAGATACCGTTACTTCAGCTCACAGTTGTTGACGTTCCTACTGTAACATCACTTGTCTTGCTGTCCTTACGGTTTCTAATTTGAGGTTTGACCTATTTCGTGACCGTGGCAACAGGGAAAGTAGGTTTTGTGCCTGTAACGTTAGCTAACACACTGTTCAAAGCGCCCTAGAGGCCTGTGGAGGTTTCCTTTGCCTCCTGTTTTGAGGACCAAGAAACAGAACAAGAAAGTTCTTTATCCACAAGAAGTGAAATTTCTGTTTTCTGCAGCAGTTTGCTTACCGCTGTGTTTTCCAACCGCCAACAGGTCGTGAGAAGATACATCCTGGGCTCCGTGGTCGACAGCGAAAAGAACTACGTGGATGCTCTGAAGAGGATTCTGGAGGTACCGAAACGTCGTGTCGCGGGGGAGACTCGGGCCTCCCGGGCCTTTTGCACACCCGCGGGTTTACGCGCGCACACGAGCCATGACGTGATCACAGTGGCGGAAGTCCCAGGACACGCTGAGTGTTGGGTCTGTGTGTGGACGTGAAGAGTCGTGGGGTTTGCGTGAACCGTGACGTACGTGAGGGGATGTCTCCGTATGTTTTCAGCGCACCCTCTAAAGAGCCTGTCCCGTCTTCCCGCGTGTCTTCGTTAGCAGTACGAGAAGCCGCTGTCGGAGATGGAGCCAAAGATCCTGAGCGAGAGGAAGCTGAAGGTGGTGTTCTACCGAATCAAAGAGCTGCTGCAGTGCCACGGCATGTTCCAGATTGCGCTGGCCAGCCGCGTGGCCGACTGGGACTCCGTGGAAACCATCGGGGACGTCTTCGTGGCTTCGGTAATTGCTGGCGGACCCCACCGCCCCACAGAGCTCGCCTGTGCTTTGCCCTGGTTTCCGTGCTCGGGGGGCACCTCACGCTGGGTGTCCGGGTTAGCAGCGGGCCTCGGTGCCGTCTGGGGCCACCGTGGGGTCACAGTGCTGTGCTCAGCGCACACGAGGCGAGGGCTCAGGTGCACGTGGTCAGGACACCATCCGGAGGCTCGCCGGGCGTGTATCTGGGATGCCACCAGCTCTATCCTGTGCCTCACGGCGCAGTGGGAGCAGGGCTTTGGTGGCGAGCCGGGGCCCTGTGGACAGTGTGCCGCTTTGTCCCACTCACCCCCGGGGCAGGTGGGTCTCGCCCTGCTCCCTGTCCCTGTCGGGGGGCAGCGGAAAATACCCACGTGTCCCCTCCAGCCAGTACTCTGTGGCCCGGGCCCTGTTGTGCAGACGCCGTCTCGAGGCCTCTGCTGACACAGGACGCGGGGGCGTGCATTCACGTTTCCCGCCCTGGAAGCCAGCAGCCTCCTATGTGCATCGGCAGTTCTGAGCCCTTTCGTCCGTGTCCCGTTTATGAACCATGTGTATTATGCTTAGTAAGTATTCCGTCTAGACGTGGGAGCTTACGGGAGCAAAGGGGTATCAGATTGAAGGTTCAAGTGGCCGTTTAAGCAAATGCTGTAATAATGACACGAAAAACCTTTTTCCCTATAGAATTGTGTGGGCTTGATGACGTATGTAAATGACAGGACGTGTATAAATTACAGGATGCCTCGAACACAACACGGGAACAGGAGTTCTTACTAAAACATTTGCATGATGCCTTTTGGGGATCTTTATGGAAAACAAAGAGGAAACTGCATATTTACTTTGCAGTTGCATTTTCTGGCTGTTTTATACGTTCACTGTCTACAATTACTCCATCTTCTTGAAATATTGGCCTTGGCAACATTTTTTTTTAAAAGGAAAAAACCCTAGACAATATATAGTTGAGATGAAAGCATTTTTTCTGTAAGTGACGGTCACATCAGATACCTGCTCATGGATATGCCTGTTTATCTTGAGAATTTGTGGGCTCTTAGGAGAATACCAGAGGGAGGCCTCTTGGTGTTTCTAGGGAAACAGGACAGGGACCAGCGTGGCCCCTCTGCCAGAGAAGCAGGAGGGAATCAGTTTCCTTCCTCCCCCGGAGCATTTCCAGGGGACGCTCAGGGCCCGCCAGGCAGGCTGTAGGGGCCTGCATGGCGTCCTCCTCTGGAGGTGAAATCCAGAGTGAGGACTGACCGGAAGCTAAAGATGGGTGTCTGTAGTCAGGGACACCGCTTAGCTGAAGGCCAGACCGCCAGGGACCTGAACAAGGATGCCGACAAGCACATTGGGGTGAGCGAAGTGAGATCGACCCGCTGTTGAAACAATTCCCAACAAGGTTGCTTAAAGAAGAAGAAAAACCACACGGGGTCGTAATGAAGTGTGTCCTGTGGAAACATCGCAGTGACTGAGAGCTTACTTTTAGGGCAGGTTTTGGATCTTCTATCACGTCCCGGAGGAGGGAGGCCCTGGGCTCTGCGCACTGCTGATAGTTCTCACTGTTCTCTGTTATTTCAGTTTTCCAAATCCATGGTGCTCGATGCCTATAGCGAGTACGTGAATAATTTCAGCACAGCGGTGGCAATCCTCAAGAAAACGTGTGCTACAAAGCCTGCTTTTCTCGAGTTTTTAAAGGTAAGCACTTTTTTTTTCATCTTGGGTTTTCACACCCTCTGATCACAGGTTCCATGTCAAAATACTTTGTAGTGAAGTTTTACCGCACTTTGCTTCTACACATATCGTGTTATTTGTCATAAAGATATTGGTACCGACATGTTGGCTCAGGTCTAGAAACGAAGATGAGTTTTCAGGGGTGGCAGAGCTTTTTGAAAATAACCTTTATTTGCACATCCTTGGAAGGGGGTGGATGGATGGGCAGGCCGAGAGGTAAGGTCCGATCCCAGAGGAAGCTGCCTTTGGCCTCCTGTCCTTCAGCATGGCATTAGGGGCAACAGAAAGAACGTTTGGGATTGGGGTGGAGCTCTCCGGCCCCGTTCGAGTCACGGCAATAAGCTGACCGCCGCAGGACGGGCCCTCCATGGGCCGAGGGCTCTGGTGAGAGGTGAGGTGCGTCTGACGTTGACGATGCGGAGTTGCTGACCTGGGATATTTAGCCACGGTCCGTCACCGTGGCTAGCCACCGGCCCCAGACCTCACTTGCACGAGGCCCCAGTTCCTGTCATAAAACCTTGAGCCAGGGTTTGTCCCTGTTACTTAAATTCTCGAAGCTCCTGCTACCTGCAGCGAGTGGACTCAGGTGACGTTCTCGCTGGCCGGTTACACTGAGGCTGAATGCCCCACCCCCAACCCCTTCCCTGGTCACCAGCCCTCAGCTTCAGGGGTCTCGGTGCTCGGCGGGCTCTCCATATCACAGCACGGCTCCTGGGGGACGGAAACACATTCAGACGTTCCCTGCCTCGGAGGAGGTTGTAACTGTCTTGGCGGACACTGACGGTACTTGGGATGTCAGCCGAGGGGCCAGCCGCAGCCCCCACTGTCAGGTGACCTCCTGCCAGGTGGCCTGGGGACAAGGGCGTGTGTCATCCTGGCCTAGCCTGGGAATTGGTGCCAGGAGGCTGAGTGGCCTTGGTGGTGGTGGGGCTGGGCCCTCGCCCTGCCATCCGACCACACCGCTCCCTTAGCTGGAGACCCCACCCCGGTGTGCAGTGGTCCGGCCCACTGGAGCGTCCCTCCCCGGCTCAGGGAGGCGCGTCGAGGGACTAGGAAGCCCCTGCCACGTGGGAGAGCCGCCCTCGGACCAGACATCCTCTGCCACAGCCGCTCCTGGGGCAGCTCACACAGGACACAGGCCCAGGTCACCCCCACCCCTCACCCCAAGGCCCTCGCCCCCAGAGCCAAGCCTGGACGGCAGTGGCCACCGCAGAGAACTCGCCCCAGTGTGTGGGCCAGGCTGCTTTTAAGGGCCCTGGCAACTCCTATTTGGGGTTCTGGGGTATTTTTCTTCTTTTTTTTTAAAGATTTTATTTATTTGAGAGAAAGTAAGTGAGAGAGACAGCACAAGCAGGGGGAGTGGGAGAGGGAGAAGCAGGCTCCCCGCCGAGCAGGGAGCCC